GGTGTCCATCATAATGTTTGATATTGTACCTCGTAGTATCATAGTATTTGGTCTTTATACCTGCAGTTTAGTATTATACCCTCTTCATCTTCATTTTCAACAAATACATCAACTTCAAAGCAAAATTACATCTTCAGAACTCCCTTCACTTGAATCAACAGATATACAATCACTTTAATTCGTAATTTCCTCTATTTTTTCTTTCCAAGTTAAATATTCTACATCAGAATATAACACTACTTATAATAATTTTTATAAAATGTGTGTGTGTAAATTAAATGTTAGAATGAAGAATTGTTTATATATATATATATATATATATAATTTACGGCCAGTAGTTACAAAAAAAAACAAATCAATCTCGATTTAGCTCAAACTATCATACGATAATAGCAAATTTCTATGTAAATTTTATGTATTTCTAATTTTTTCTTAAATTGTTGACTAGAACAGTGGCTCTTAAACTGTGATTCTTGGACTCCTAGAGGTCTGCAATGACTCTCTAGATGGTCTGCGTAGTCTCTCATGTAACGTTGAGATTTCCTCTTTTACAGACCTCGTGGAAGAATTGAAAGATGTACTATACTACACTCATGTCCATAAATTAAGGTTAATTCAGAATCATACAAAAATTGAACTCTAAAATAAAAATTTCACCTGTAGAATTATCACACACATCTTGAAGAAGAAGATGCAAATGACAGGAAACCACCAGATGGCGCGGATAGTACGTCACAATGACGAGAGTGTAAGAGAGAGGTATATAAGGAATGGTGGCAAAGAAGTAAAATTGTTCACAAGCGCTTTAAACCCTTTCAGTGCAATAACCGCATAGTTATGGCACAAAGGAAGCATTTGGATGATTTTTTACGTGTTAGAATTATCGGACGACTGGAATGTGGACGTACCCAGCTGAACTTGTATCCGAGGAACTTGGAATCGCCCAGAGTGTCATCTCCAGCCTTTGGCAACGATTCCAAGATGATGGTAATGTGAGTAGATGTTACAGCACAGGTCTCCCCTGAGTTACAACGCTGAATGAGGACCGGTATTTGGCAGTTACTGCCAAAAGAAACAGACGGAGCACAGCATCAGACCTATCTCGTCAGCTCTCTTCAGCTACCGGTACGACCGTTTCAAGGCAGACAGTGTACAGACGCTTAGGGCACATTGGTCTATATGCTCGTAGGCCTGTCAGATGTGTTCCCCTTACCGCAACTCACTGTCGCCTGCGATTAACCTGGAGTAGAGAGCATGCATTTTGGACACCGCAACAGTGGTCTTGTGTGATATTTTCCGACGAGTCCAGGTATAGTTTGCAGTCTGATTCTCACCGGAATTTTATATGGAGAGCGCCAGGTACCCGTTACCACCAAGAGAACACCATTAAAAGACACCGTTACGGTGGTTCAGGATGACTCGTTTGGGGAGGAATTATTCTTGGTTCCAGAACTGACCTGCAGGTTCAGATTGTAATGATGACAGTCCACATCTATCGGGATGTCATTCTGGAACAACATGTACGTTTGTTTCGGGGCGCCATGGGTGCTGTATTTCTGTTAATGGATAACTCCCGTCCTCACCGTGCAAACAATGTAGACGAATGCCTTCAATCAGAGGATATCACCCGTATGGATTGGCCAGCATACTCACCGGACTTGAATCAAATAGAGCATGTGTGGGATATGCTTGGCCGACGAATTGCAGTCCGTCAACCCCCTGCAACCTGTCTACCGGAACTTCGGAGGGCATTGCTTGATGAGTGGTGTAATATTCCCCAAGATCAGATTGATAATTTAATACTCAGCATGCGTAGGCGTTGTATTGCATCGTCCGGGAGACATACTCCGTATTAACCATCATAATAACCATGTTATGCTGTTTTTTGTAAACAGGTTCTTTTTTGAAATTTTCTCCAGGGAGTAAAAATTGCAATTTTCATTAATTATATCAAGCATATAGCATCTTTTTTTCTCTTTACCTTTTGTTTAATAAACAGACTTTACAAATAAGTCAAATTTGTTTTGCTTCTGTCTCTTTCTTTGCATGAACTTCATTATCCTTAATTTATGGACATGAGTGTAGATTAGATTACTAAATAGTTCCCAATAAAGATACTGTACTGGAACTTGCATTTTGATCAAAAACATTAAATCGAGAGGGCTGTCCAAAATATTGGAGGTCAGCGAAATCACCCGATACATGAAAGGGGGTGCGTATAATTTGAAAGTTTAAGAACCGCTGCTCTAGACAATTATTTTAGAAAGAGTGGTTGCAATTTTATGCAGCATGCAGTTAAATACTTTAAAACACGTCCTACGCAAAGTGAATTCCCTATCCCCCCCCAATGGAAAATTTAAATTGGTGACAAGGATACGTTATTAAGTTATGAAGATAGTTTGTAAGTTTTTATGTAATATTGGAACTTTTTTTTTACCGACCCTTTCAGGAAGCACTGCATTATTGCAAAACTTGTAGCCATTTATATAAGTAGTAAATATTTTTTAAAGGGAATTCATATAGTGTATAAGATAAAATTTTCCATTTTGAAAAAATTTAATATTTCTTATCTTTAAAATAATTTTAAAAATAAATAGCAATGAAAATTAAAAATTCGGACATAAGCATTTTGTTCAGAGTGAGCAGCGTTTATGTATATTTTAAGCAATTTTTTTCTTATTTTGATACTTAAAATATGTTTTTTATAATTTTATTCTCATAATTTACAGAAATCTATAGACCATAAAAATATTATGATACCTCAATTTTTTTAAGAAAAATGTTTAGCGCGTGGTCGGATCCTTGGTTTTAAGCGCTAAAACTATTTCATCCCACATGCATAAAAACATAGTTTAAAGTTAAAAAAACTTGGATTTTTTTTATAAAAAATGTAATTTATAAGAATATTTTTGATATCGTTTTTAAGACTTCTGAATCAAACATTAACTAAATTAGAATTTTAAAATAGTATTTAATATCAGGTTTTGTTGAAATATTTATATTTTCTATGATATTTATAATTTTCATTTAATGTTTCGAAAATATAATTAATGCCATCTTTTTATTTTTAATCCTTAATTTTGTATCAATATTTTTGAACTGAATTTGGAATGAATCATTTAAGAGGGATAAAAGAGGTTGTTCCAGTAATTAATTAAACCTAATTTCATTTCACGTTATAAACATTTAATAAATAATTTTACTCTTAAAGGAATTTTAGAACGAGAAAAGATTGCATTAGAGAATGATTATTGTATAACAAACATCTAGTTCGATTATTTCAGTGATTATAGACATGAAAAGTTTAAGGAATTTTATTAAAATTTATCATACCAAGCTCGGAAAGGCTCTATTATTGTTTTTGGCATATTATTAGCTAATTATTCATATATTTTCTGCTAATAAAAAATAACGAACTTTAAAAACAATATTTTTAGATATGTACTTGGTATCTAAATATGAAATTTCTTAATCAATATATTGTATATAGAGACAGAAAGCCACTCATCACGAAATCTCCAGAAATATTAAACCTAAGGAATTGAAATTTGGTAAGCACGTTTCTTTCGTTAAGTAATCCACTAAAAGTTAAAATCATTTCCTAAGATGCATAAGGGTATTATATAGGGTATTATATTAGGGTATTATAGATTAAAATTCCCGTTTTTTGAAGTATTAAACATACACTCTTGAAATTTGGCCAGCATGTTTGTTTTGTTGAGAAGAAATCCACTAAAGACAGGTTTTTTAGAAATCACCTTTCAAGGAGAGTTACGGGGCCGTATAGGTAAAAAAAAACTCCCATTTTTACACCATTAGACTTACAGATTTAAAGTTTATAAAGCATATTTTTTTTATTCAGTAGAAATCTGTTAAAAACGCATTTTATGCATAAATCATTTCCTAAAAGGAGATAAAAAATAGGGGAAAAAATTCCCGTGTTTTAATTGTTAGACATACGCATTTGAAATTTGTTAAACCTATTTCATTTTTTGAGTAGAGATCAGAGAAGAACGAGTTTTGATGAAGCAGACTCCCAAAAAGGATTGCGGGGTGCGACATATTGGATACGAAAACACAGATGTATACAGATATATATAGAGATATATATACAATTTAATTACATAAATGTCTAACACGCCATCTTACTCAACACGTTTCTTCTCTCTCTTCCCGCCGGGACCCTCTCAGAAACGGTCTCTCCGCATGTCCTTTTTTTTAGGGGGTTTTCTCGGAACGGAGGGGAAAATGGATTTCAGGGAAACCCTCTCCCTTACAATCAGGCAGTCACTATCAGCTTTTTGTCTCTGACGTCATCAACGGGTTTCATTTATGCAGTAACTGGACTTCGTAATAATGTTCGCTACAGGGACCTACAAAGCATTATAGATTTTTAAATGCCCTCATTTTTGAGCTTATAGCCTACAGATCTGATTTTTGGCAAAAATCTTCCTTTTATTGATCAGAGATCCACTAAAATTAGTTTCGTAGAAATTTGAGTACGAGGGAGTGGGAGTTTCGGGGGCATAAAAGATAAATATATTTCAATTTTAAAAAAATCAAGCTCTGTCCCTATTATTCCATGAGGCGTGAGCTATAAGAATTTTTTCTGAAAATAGAAAGCTTTATGTTAGGACATAGATATTAATAACTTCAAAACAGAACATAGTCGTATAACATCCTTAAATTCCTCACAAAGTGGGTGGGTAACAAATAGTTTATATATATATTGTGGTTAGCACTGCTTCTGGTCGAATGACACGTTACCTTTCCATTGCTGTATTTTCGATTAAATTAAGTTAAAAATAATGTGAACACTCAATATTTCTCTTATAAATTTGTGTGAGCTTTGCAGGTGTATGGTTATGGTTATTATGTCTGAAATACCTATAATATTCTTATTATAAAAAAATTTGTCAAACATTTTGTATTTTAACACAGTAAATTTTTAAAGAACATTTTTTAAAAATCGAGAACTGTTTTTTAATATAGAAAACATTGCCCAACCAGTATCGTGGATATGACCATCGGCTTGTAACCGAGTGAATTCGGGTTCGAATCCCGAATAAGGCATGGATGTAATCTTCTGGAACAAAAGTCGACTTTCACCTAAAAGGAATTGCCTTCTCGAAAAGAAAGCAGCACACCCTTTCTGTTGTATGCTGGGACCATCGTCTGTAATAAATAGTCTACATTCTTCTGTGTTTGTACTGTATGTTTCTGTCCTTCCATCTCTCGTCTTTATATGTATCTCAGTATAAATCAAACAACAATATAGAAAATACTTAATGCAAATTTGTTTTAATATTATATAAAATTACAAATTATCTCTCATGTAAATGTGATTATACAACAAATTGAATATTTTTCTCTTTTATTTTATCGCAACAATATACTGATAGATTTCCAATGTAACAATGAACGAGAATAATAAAACAAAATAATAAAAATTGATTACAGATTAAATATGAAGCACACACAATGAATTGTTTTTAATTCATTTTAAAGTTGTCTTTTAAGAACTGTGCTTCTTTTTGGGTTTTGAGCGAATTTTCTACGTTTTATAATTGCTATTTTTACCCCTGTGATGATCGATTTGACCATGGTGGCTCTTTGTATTCTGGAGACAAGTCTTTACTTGTTTTTCAACGTTATTGAAGATTATATTCAAATCAATCTCGTTTTTTTCTTGGAAATATTGGGCTGTGTTTTGGTTGTGGATCTGAATACAAATTTGAGTGGAATTTATTTTGAAAGCACATCACAGGTCCAAGAACGTAAGTTTATTGCAAAACGAGATGATGACAAACTTGAAGGAATTGAAGTTCCTGTAGTACATTCGCTGATTATATTTAAGATGTGCAAGGGACTCGGTCTTGAAACTCAACTTGCTGCTTAATCGGACAAGAAAATAAAGGTCACTAAAAAAAAACTTCGTCCCATTCCGAAATTGCATTCCAAAACGATTCTGATGTTTTGTGAGGCACTAAATCTGGATTCAAAACTTGCTCACTGATTCGTAAGAGAACATATTCAAGAAAAAGCTAGCGAGGCCTTTTCTGGTAGTTAATTTCTTCATGGTCTTCAAAATGTGTGAGGCTCTAAAGCGTGACTTAAAACTGAATGCAGAGATGTAATCTTGAGCTGTTTTGAAACATTAAAAGTAAAAAAAATCAAGAGAATGAATTATCTGACAATTTTCTTTTACTTTTTGGAACACTACCAATCTGTACTTAGAAGCTCGACTGACTCCAGCATAATGTTTAAATTACAAAAAATAATTTATAATTGCCACTATAATGCAAAAACATTTCCATCACCATTGAATGTAAACTTCACCATACAAAAAAACAGAAATTTTCCTTATCAATTATATGGAAAATCCTAATTTGAAGTATTCCACTTTGTCGTTTGAAGATAATTTTGGAAACATGTGACGGTTACCATCTTTCAACAAATGTATGGACTATAAATGATAACAGTTCTTTACCTTGTATGGGATAAAAAGGTTTCATTATAGCTATGGACATCTCCTTTATTTGATGAACATTTTTACTGAAAATACATTACAACAAATATCTGAAAATTCGATATTACTAAACTCATATTATGACAGAATATATAGTACAAGATTCAAAACAAATAGAACTGACCGTAGAATGAAAACACGATTTTAAGGGCACATATAACACTTATGATAGAAGTGCATATCTAAACTGAACGGTTCGAGAATTAGTTATTGGGTCACATTAAGGCTGGACACCCTGTATATATATATATATATATATATATATGGCAACTGTCAGTGATAACTGTTAAATGCAAGGAAGTTTTCAGTTAATTTTGAATTTAATTACTGACAATTAACATATTTACAAGTTATTTAAATGCATAACTCCCATGCAATAATCGTCAGAGTTGTCTTGCTCGTGGACACAATGGATCATCGCCTCATTCGTCGTATCATAGCATATTCTTTTTCGAGCTTCTATCGACAGTTAAGCTTCGACAACAAGTTGTGCACTATCAGACATGTGGAGATTAGGACAGTCCAGAACAGACGTGGCTTGGCAATAGTGAACGTCACCACACACACACACATATGTATACATTAGTTTCTAAAGATATATGGTTCATTCACGTATGGTTTGATGAAGTGGATGTCCAGGAATTAGACCATTCTTCTCAAAACCCATAGCTGCTCCCATATAGCGTATCTGTCTAAAAAAACGTCTTTCAAACATCTACTACGAGTTATGCTCAGACACCGTAGGTCGGTGATATAAATTATTAAAAGTTTATGCAAAAACAGAATGAAAATTAAAAATTTCGTAAAATCTCGTTGATTTGTCTCCGCAAAGGAAGGCTGGTATTATTGGAACAAAAAGTTCCCAACCTCAAGTAATTTCTGGTTTAATCTGGGGAAAGAGCAAAATGCATAGGACTGGATACTTTTGTGTTTATGTAGTAAATACTATGTATATATAATGGATACAACATCAGGTTTCGATAATATATGTATATCAAATCGATTGATTTGATTTACACATATGTTTAATATTTATTTATAACTATTAAACAAATAAATCAAATCAAATTCGCTACACTATTGCAAACAGATATTTTCATATTTTAGCACGCCAAATGATTACGACGTAATTTTACTCAAAACAATATGGTGATTTTAAAAAAAATTATAAATCACATAAATGGTATTTTGTTTGCTTTCTTTGTTTCCCAACCAATATAACTCCTGAAACGCAATATTCTCCTACTGAAATATTTTAATCACTGATAACTATGATTGGTGATAAGTTATATTATCTGTATAGGCTTACAACTTTTTAACTATCCCGTTAAATATTATTGGCATTTATTGCAATAATTTCACATATTTTTATGGTTAGATTTGTTCTTCACAGCGTATGAATTTGTTTTATCTTAAACGTTTGATTGTATATCTCGCAACGCTGACTATTTTTCATTTAGGTTATTTTCCATTGTTAGAAGAGCACAACATATATACTATATTCGCCACAAAAACTAATAAGCTGTAAAGCCGTCTCCAAAATATAGATGTTGTTGAAAGTGGTTCTTATCAATTGTTTTATACATACAGTTTACCCTACGAGCTTATTATTTCTTGCATTGTCTCGAATTGTATTTGTTTCTTCCATACCCTTATTCAATATACATGACTATAGACTGCAAAATATATTTTTCCAAACTTACGATCATAGTCCTGTGAGAATACGCATTTGAAATCTTTACATTTGTAGAGAGGGGTTTTTTTCCTCCACCAATGAATACCTCAAGTTCAAGTATTATTTTTCTTTTCTCGATCTCTGTTGTTCAAGCCCCCCTCCCCTTTTTTGTTATTATTTTTTTTCACCTTCTTCTACTTGCATTGGTCTAGTATGTGTGACAAGTTTCAGCTTATTGTGGTAATAATATATTGATGGAAAAAAACTCGAAAGGGATGAAATGTTTCCAAGTAGAACGTTCGACAAACAAGATAAAAAATCCTTTCTTTCAGGGTAAGCAGTTTTTAAGCGTATTCAATTTTACAGCCAAACGGGTTGAGAAAGGGACGTGTTGGAATCCGCTTTTCTCCCCACCATTTGCTTGACGCACCGTTCTTGGTGACATATATTTTATTTCATTGTAATATATAGAAAAGTATGGAAACACGCTGGTTCACAACAGGATAATCCTTAATAAATTGAATGAAAAATAACGTTCCGTTAGGTGAAAGAAATATGTATCATTATTCGGTAAGTTTTTATGGTAAACAATCAATTTTTTTACAATTTAAAATGCAAATTTTCAATTTATTGCTCTTCTTTCTTTATTGTATACTAGCTGGTTCATCCATTGCGGCACGGGTGAATTGAAAAATAAAAAAACGCAGAGTGAAGGATAAATAAATTTTAATGAGTTAATTTTACTTGATTGCAAATAAAATAAAAAAAAAATATTTTTTCATAACTCCGCTGATAAAAAAAACCGTATTTGATGAACTTTGATTCTGAAGGTCTAATAAATGATGAAAAGCATTTTTTTTATTAATATGCCACGTAAGTTTCTTGTGAGGCGATTTTTGAAAACACCTTCCAAAGCTAATCCCTGCCCAGAAAAAGTGACACATTGTTACCAATTTTGAGTACTGAACGATTAAAAAAGTCTAAATATTTTATAGCTGGATGTGTAATACGTTAATATTTCTTTCTGTTGTAATTATTTTATGTTGAAACTATAATATTCGCAAGCAACGCCGTTCCTTACATTGTAATGGCGATTCAGTGGAAACATAGCGAAATGTTAGTGATAAAGCCAAGTTGGCATCCTTTTTTGGAGACCACGTTGGCAATTTGGCAATTGAGTGATCGATTCAGAAGTAGATATGCTGTAGCGCAACCTGTGGTGGAGCTGCAACAAAGATGATAGAGCAAAATCCTTCTCCACAAAAGATACATTTACGTGCCAATTCTCATAGTAATCAATTGGAAGGTGTTGGAGTGAAGTGATATTATATACACAACCAGCCATTTTTTTATATATAGACTTTGATTGTATAGTTATATTGAAGGAATGACAATTTACTATTATTAAGAACAATAAAATGCAATTTCCTCTTTTTTTTCTTTTAAATTGTGTAACCTACTTTAAATGAAAACGGTTACTATTGCGAAATATACTTGTTTTAATAGAATAAATTATTTTGATATTCTTAATTTGTTGCCCTTTTTTTATAACCAATTTTTTTTCTTTCCCTTGTCTCTTATAGTTTTTCACATCTAATTTTTAATATTAATGTTATGGGGGAATTAATTAGAAATTTTGCTATTTAGTGCTGAAAATGTAAGATAAATAAAGATGCATTAAAACTTATGGTTTTGTAAATATTAACTCTGAGATCCATGCATTTTACATATTTTAAATCTTACAAAAATTAGAGAAAATAAAACTCGCTTTTGTTAACCCTTTACCTAACAATACAATTTACTGCATTTTTTTCATGCAATATATATTTTTTGAGTAATTTCATTGAAAATTGAGGTATACACATAAAT